AGTGATTTGATGTCAACAATACAATTTCGCTTGATTTTCAAAGGCCATAAATCGCTAGAATACTGATGTTTGGTAATACATTTGACATCCGTAAGTACAACTTCTTACGCTGAATCGAACGGTGGTATTTTTATCCTTATATTGCGCCATTGAGAGGCATCACAAATACAATATTATCATGTTTCGCACTGAGTGTCTGAGTACACTACAGACAGTTTTCATGGACTGTTGTTCGATAAATTTTATATTGATATGACACCAACATGCTTCTCATAAAGTAGTTATAACTTAAACTGCACAACGTATAGTTTTAATAAATAACCTTTTAACTTGAAATTGTCTTTGGCTTCTTTATATTCAGATTCAGTATATTATGATCGTGCACGGGAATTCAACGATCCAAATATTTTCGGATTTTCAGAGTCGTGCACCAAGAAAAACGCATTAAATAAACTAGCATGAATGTCCAGAATTAGACACAAAGCAAAATCCATAGAAAACAGGTACAATTCGGCCAAAATTTTCACGAAATGGGGCCCGGAATTGTTTGAAACATTTAGTCTTAATACCTTATGCCAAAACTGTAACTTTCCAGTCCTCGTATTTTATTAGAGCTTGTAAAACCTGGAACATCCTAAGTGATAACCTTCGAGACAGAAACATTGGTTTCTATGCTTTTAAATCAGGACTGAAACTGTACTATAAGAACGCACTATCAAACACGTATAACTGTGACGATCCTCGGACTTGGAAATCTGTCTGTGTTAAATGTAAAAGGGCTAGATCCCTTGATGGTGTTTTAAACTATTGTTAGTTGTCAGTTTAGCCGTTTTGTATTTGTGTTGTTATACTTTGTCTGTTTCGTTAATCAATTATTTGAACGTAATTTTTTATGTAAATATTAAGGGATCGCCGTAATTGGGGGAACCTGTGGCGAACTCCCTGGCACTACATTGTTGTATTTTTAGGTAGTTGCCGAATCTTATTAAAACATTAAAACATTAAAACATTAAAGGCCCCGCCATTTTGAAAAGGATCAAGCAGCTCATTGCTGCCGAAGGCAGCACACTATTCTTGACGATTTGTTTTTCTCGCACCAGTCCGTTTCCGGCCGAGTTATGTATAGCCGAACGACATCTCGATTTTGGAGGTGTACGGATGGATGATCAGATTTATGACGTATTTTGACGTCACAAAAACTTTACTGTAAAAAATAACATACTCCAGATCGCGATTTGACTTTCCGACTATCCCGGTTGAACCTCGCGAACACCACCATGGACAATGACAATTTGTAAACACGTTACATGTACGCATAATGGCCTCTGTACTGGCATAGTCTCATCGCAAATGGACTCTGACTGTTAAATAAAATGCTTTTCAAGGTAAGATGAAAGTTTGATCACAAATAACAATGTGTATTGGTCGATACGCGTTGAAACTTGAAGCGAATGAATAAACTGTATTTAAATTATTACATTTTTAGGTGCATACAAGTCTTCATAGTAAACAAGTGGACTTCGTCGATATTTATCAGTTTGTAAAAAATCTGATTGAGCTTGATCGTAGGCTTGATGGAACATCGTACTTCTAGGGGATAAATAAGCACAGAGAGAGTTTATTATTGTTATTGTTATTTTGGCATTATCAATTAAGGCATTGAGCAGTATCGTAAAATTGTCTGACTTGCACAAAGATAGTCCAAAAGCAACCCAGTGTGGATATTTGTTGTCTGCACATATTAACTTACCAGCAGTTACATGTAAATAACATGTCAACCGACGTTTGTAAAAGGTATGACGGTCTGTAAAAATGTATCTCTGAGATATGTCCATTGTTTAATTAATAGCATAATATGAAATAATCCTACCAGCCTACATTTATATATTCACCTGGCTGTCACTACAGTACTCAGAGACAGAGTATACTATATTTTTTGATAATGCTCACAATTGTATTATATAGTTTTTCAGTTCTGAGTGAGTACAATCTTAGGGACTGATTACATGGAGAGTTTTCAGCCCGGGCTGAGTTTCAGCCGGGTTATTAAAATGAGCTGAAATTGCATCACGATTACATAAGCAGTTTTAGCCCGGACTGAGTTTAGTCAGAGCTATGTTTATAGTCAACCCGGACTGAAATGTCAGACCGGGCTGAGTGAAATAATCTGAGTGTCACGAAATAGGACAATAAGCCTGTTATGCTTCTTTGAAGCAATCAGACGCTGATTAGTCGACTATTTGACTTGTGTGAGACTGTGGTCAGGGTTTTAGCCAGGATTTCGAAAGTGGCCGTCCAAAATAATATTGTGGGCGTGGCCACATGTTTTTGGGCGTGGCCGCAATTTTTTGTTGTTGTGGAATTGTGGTGTTCTATTCATTGAACCTTTTTACTTTTAGTTTTAGATGCACATTTCCGTTATTAAATTAGTAAAAGCACACCAATGGTATGAACCGTATGATCACTACGATGTACAGTATATGCTATAATGAAGAACGCAATACAGCAGTGTAGTGTTTAGTTATTTTTATCAATCACCGATATTTTTCCCCTTTTTTATTCGTTTGGCTCATTTTGTAGCCATCTTTACCGTAAGTATAACTCTAAAGCATGTGGCGCTCGAGCGATAGCGTTTGTCGATACTTCAATTCAGCCATATTCAACGTGTTTTCGACGGGAAAAAATATAAAAAAACATATGCCGTAAGTAAAGTAAACAGCAGATGACAACAATTCGAAGTATTCAAGAAATATTACAAAGCTTGTAAATTGCTATTTAAAGAAAATATTCCCTTAGGCCGTCCATGGCCGTCCATTAAAATTTAGCCGTCCGAATTCAGAAGTGGCCGTCCATAGGACGGTCGGACGGCCGCCTGGCTAACACCCTGACTGTCGTTATATGTAAAGTATTTAAAGATGAAACAAACCCGCAGTGTGAGACTGTGGTTATATGTAAAGTATTTAAAGATGAAACAAACATGCAAAATAAAGCCATTTAAACGATTGTTTTTTCAGCCCGAGCTGAAATTTCAGCCTGGGCAGCTCAAACCAGGCCGAAATTTCAGCCCGGGCTGAAACTCTCTCCATCAAGCATCAGCAGATTGTTCAGTTGTTTTGCAATAGGGGTAGCCTTGAAGGTGTCATTATTGCATTAAAACGATAATTGGAACAAAAACTGACTTAATATTTCTATATATGAAGTTATTATTAAATTCTACATATCAAATGATTCATTCAAGTATTATCGTTTATATATAGAATGATTTTGTACAGTATTCAGTGGCAAGCTAGCTACCATGGCAACTGGTCATGCCACCCCAATAAACCTGTATCTATTTGAATAATGCAAATCATTATATTAAAAGCTTGCATAGCGTCACCTGTTGCTATGTCAGCTTCACAGGCTGACAGTATTATAATTATACATACAAAAGCAAGAAGTTATAAGCATTGAATGTATTCATATACATTTAGCCGATCTTTCGACTTTTCCTGTTTACATGATGGAAGTTGGGATGATTTTTGATGTATTGGAATAAGTCACTAGGCTAAACAAAAGTTCAAATGCTTGTTAACAGAACTCAAATATTGTAGACAAGATCTTGTAGTTCAAAAAGATTATAATTGCTGCTTGAACAACCTTTCGTTTACAGTAACTATAATCTATCTTTAGAAAAGTAATGTTTTTTGCTGAATTGTGCACTGTGACTCATTTCAATACATCGAAATCATCCTGCCTCATATCTCGTCCTGGCGAAACGGGATCGTATAAACAGCCCCTTATTCAGCAAATTGCGCATGGTGCCATCCCTTGGGGTGAGGCAGCATTTTCCTTGCGATAGTAACTTCTAGTTAATATTCTATTTTGTGGCTATCGACGACGATTGGAGATCCACTAAATGCAAGCTGAAACCTATACTCGTCTGGGGCACAGTGCCCCAGCGAGTAATTAAAGTTCTCCGGATTGAAATATACTTTTATTAGTATAATAAGTATATTTAAGTATATTTCAATCCGGAGAACTTTAATTATATATATATATATATATATATATATATATATATATATATATATATATATATATATATATATATATATATATATAATCAGTACAATTCGCGCAGAAATAAGGTTTGTTCAATTATAACCATGGTAATATCATGTTTGCGTGAATTTCTTTTGTTCTATTGTGCTGTATTAGTAACCAATTCACTCGCCTACTCAAATGTACAGGTCGTATTAGAACTAATACGACCTCAGTTGACGTCACTACGGGTCGTATTAGTATTACCACATCACCTGGAAAGTTTGAGAAAAATTATCACAAAATTATGACATACTATAACGCTCCGCCGACATCATTGACAGTGTCTGAACACTGATTTGGGTGAAATTCGCGCAAAAATAATATTACAAAGTAATATCATGAAATGAGGAGTATTAGTCATTAAACCACCCGCTCGACTCGGGTCATTTATTAAAATTCCCTCGGGCCTACGGCCCTCGGGAATTTTAATAAATGACCCTCGTCGAGCGGGTGGTTTAATGACTAATACTCCTCATTTCATGATATTACTTATAATAAAACACGACGCGTAGCGTGTTTTAAATAGCTTAAAAACGACTCATCTTATACGAGTTCATTGGCGAAGTAATTTTTAAAATAAACTTTGTCTAAACCGAGAAAATCAAAGCTAAAGTTTATGTAAATTAACATGATTTTTTATCACATATAAAACCACGACACGCTTATGATTTTTTTTTGTGTTTTGCTCCTGAATTATTAATGAGTTTTTTAAGTACTGTTTAATAAACGAGCAGGAGTGTTTTATTAGGTATATTATTACTATAGAACATGATTTTTCCCTATCAGGTCGTCCTACTTCAATTCATCGCGGACAACGTAATTTAAATAATATTATTCAAATTAACATTAATAAAACTGTTATTTCCAATGCTAATGACTATTTCTACGTTCCGAAACTACTATTGACAAATACGATGTCATTAGCTCCCAAAATTGATGAAGTGAGTTGTTTTGTCACAGAAAAGAGTCTTGACCTTGCCTGTATAACGGAAACATGGCTAAATGACCGTATCTCAGATTCCTGCCTCGATATTCCAGGTTACAATTTTGTTCATAAAAACCGCAGTGTGGGCTCCCACGGAGGAGTTGGGGTGTACATCAGGAACACGATATTTTATAAGCCTCTGAATCATCTCCACCATATAGATTACGAAGTTCTGTGGGTCTATGTTCGTCCAAGTAGACTTCCCCGTGGGTTTTCCTGCTTGATACTTGGTGTCGTTTACCATCCACCTAATGCTAATGATGATGAAATGCTCCAATTTCTCTCAACATCACTGATTACTATTGAAAGCACCTATCCTGGCTGTGGGTTTATTCTTGCAGGCGACTTTAATCGGTTAAAATGCAATCGGATATTAACACAGTTCAGTTGCAAACAGATTGTTAACGTTTCCACAAGGGCCAACCAGACTTTGGATCTAATAATAACCAACTTACATTCGTTTTATGATAAGAACTCTGTCGAAAAATTTCCGCCATTTGGTCTTTCAGATCATAATGTTGTGATTGTCAATCCTTGCAAAAGAGAAGTCATGCAGTAGAAGAATTATCTCTAGTAGAGATTTACGATGAGCTTGGAAGATACCTTACATCTATCGATTGGTCCTCTCTGAATCATTTTGACACATGCGAAATGAAACTCCAGTATTTCGAAGAGTTATTACGTCTCGGTATTAGCACCATTATGCCAATAAAGAAAACAACTTTGCATGTACACGATCCTCCATGGATTACTGCAGAATTTAAAGAGCTTATAAGGAAGCGTCAAGCTGCCTTCTGCAGTGGAAATACCTTTCAGTTCAAGTATTACCGGAATCGGGTTAACCGCGAGCGAAAGGCATGCCGGGCGAAATTCTACTCTTCAAAAGTAAAGAATCTTAAATCGACCAAACCGAAGAGATGGTGGAAGGAGGTGAAGCAGATTGCTGGTATGGTACCTACAACCGGCTCCGATGACCTATGTAGTCATCTTCATTTAGACGATATCGAGAATATGCAACGTCCTGACATTGCGAATTTAATTAATAACGCCTTTTTGGAGCCCATGAACTCCTTCAATCCACTGTCAACCCTTCCCCCCTTTGATAATTATTCCTCTTTTCAAGTGAACGAATTGGAAGTCTTTCATTTACTGGAAGCAATTAATCGTGGAAAGGCGTCAGGTCCTGAAGAAATTCCCAATTGGGCTCTTAAGGAATATGCTGAAATCCTTGCACAGCCAGTATGCGCTGTGCTAAACAGCAGCTATGCCGAACAACAACTACCTAAATCTTGGAAGCTTGCCAACATTGTGCCCCTCATAAAAACTAAGCCCGTTAGCGACATTTGTAAGCAGTTACGACCAATTTCACTTACTGCCGCTATTTCGAAAATCGCCGAGGACTGTGTTGTTAAAAAATACATTGCTCCAGCTATCATGAGTATAATCGATCCAAGTCAATATGGAGTAATACCAAGAAGTTCAACTACTCTTGCTGTTATATCTATGATCCATGAATGGTCGCAAGCTACTGATGGCACTGGCTCTGCTGTC